GACAGCTATTAGTGTACAATTATTTTTTACGTGACAATTGCATTAGAATAGACACAACGTGTTGTTCGAGTTGCTCGTATGACACGATTGCACTTATAGCAGCGAAAAGGTGCTATAAATACTTAGATATATATCTACATGTAACGCACATATGGCTACATTCGTACGCTAGTGTAATTAAATGAAAATTAAATTGTTTTTGGCTTGTCTGTTAATCAGAGTACATTAAGGTTAAAACACCGCAGCAGCATGAATGATTCCAGCCACTCTCACATAACATCGTGTAATACTCAGCTATGTATATTTATATATATATATATATATATATATATATATATGTATAGTGCACGATTTCAGAGAACAGGAGGTGGGGGCCATGAACAAACGCATGCACCTTGTTGTTTTTATATATACATAATATTGACAATTTATAAATATTTTAATAGTTTTTAATTAACCATTACAAAGTGTAAAGCTTGTCTGGTCGTAACTTGTTGCTCTAACTTAAAGCTTTTGTGTTTTTTTTTTTTTTTTTTTTTTTTCCTTCTTATATCCAGGCCCACTGGCATATATGCATGCATAACGTTGTAGCGTTGATGTGCCTTTATAATTTGTCCTACAGAGAGAAGTGCACGTATGCACGATTCCGTTTGTGTGTGTGTGTGTGTGTGTGTATTGTGTGTGTATTACCATTAATGATTATTTAAGGGTGCATTTTTTGGCCGTTGACTGCCACATAGTGCCGCCGCAACCACCACTGCCGCGAATCGCGTTGAAGTCACTTTGCCAATTATATATCGAAAATATGTTTTTTTTTTTTTTTTCGCCCCTATTTTTGTTTTGCCCCCTTTTCCCGGACAAGTTCGTGCACAAAAATACTAATTGTTTTATCAGGTGTCGTTATTGTTGTCTAATATGTGTTTCACTATTATCTAGTAAAGTAGATTAGGGCGCGTGACAATGTTTACCCATTATAGTAGGATAATTTTTGTAGAATTTTAATGACAATTAAAAACGGATTTAAATCTCTACAACTTTTCCAGCATAACAAATGAAAGGCTCTTTATGAGGCCTTAGCAAATACCTGCTGTTACAGCATTAACGCATATTGTTATTAGTTAGGGAAAGCGTTTCCAAAACATTCTACTATGAGAAATTGCGTTAAAGCTGTTGCGTAACTTCACGACAGTCCTGCTCTCATTTAAAGCCTACAACGACTCCATATAGACTCTTATATAAACTGTTTCATATTTTTATTTTTTTCTTTTTTTTCTTTTGATTTCTTGATCTAAAAATTATCTTTGATAGAAGATTTCATTTCATTTTACATAAAAAATTTATTATCAATAAAATATCTGTTAGTCTGTTTATTAAACCGTAATCGAAGGAATTCGAGAAATTTTAACGCTCTATGTCGTGGAGCTGGTCAAGTTCCGGCTTCGTGTTCTATACAGAAACTTTAATATATTATTATTCGACTCACCTCCGACGTATGGGATTATCAGGGATTCTCAAAGGTATACATGCTCGTTACCAGTATATCTGATATTTTGCATATATTTAAACACTTTCCTCCATTCATCAATCCGTCCACGTAGTCCTTTGTCGCAAAACCCCAAATCTCACCCTATAGGTCGCGATTTTTGAAAGATTTTTATGAAATTTCGTACACCGCCGCGTTCTAACTCAAGGACAAACTCTATTGAAAATGATTTGCATCGAATCTCTTATTTGATTGCTTCCTAAAAAGGTATATCTTGAAAAGTCGTTATATAATTAATTTTAACATTAATTAACTGCATTAAGGGAAATAGTAGCCAGCACTTAATGGTGGGCTTCTTTCTACCATAATCCTTTAAGTGTTTGCTTATATTTTGATGATTTTTTTCACTTGAAAAAGGCATTTATTGGGAAAAATTGGTCCAAAATATTCTAATCAATGCGTTTTTCATCATATTCTACAACTTTTTCCCATCTTTTCGGCAACCTGACGATCGGACGTGTCGAAAGGACGATATTGGTTTGGTAGCAAACCAATCGTCAGTCCATTTTCGCACAACTTCAGCATTTGCAAACGGCGCGCCAGCCAAGCCATGCTGCACAAATGGTAATCAGAAGGAGCTATGTCTGGCGAGTACACTGGATGGGGCAAAGTTTCCCATTCAAGCTGCAACCGTGTACTCTTGACAAGTCTTGCAACGTATAATCGAAAGTACTCATGCAAGAGGAAGACGTCGCGTCTCTTAACCGCTATAACTGGTCTTTTTTGCAGCAACAGTTTTTGCAGCTCGTCATACACTACACCTTGTTGATCCCACAATGTGCATAGCACGAACTTTACGATCGTGAATATTTCGCTTCGGTGTGGATGTGGATGGCTCTACTGGGCTAGGCCATGACGTTTCACGCTTGCACTTACAATACACCACAGCAGACCCTACTTGTTTTGCCTGGCAGGCAATGAAACCACGGCATTCATTAATTTTGAAACGATCTGAAATGGCATTTTGCCTCAACTCGTATGGTAGGCACTTTCCCTTCTTTTGGACCTTTCCGATTGCATGTAACCGTCCAGAAATAGTTGATGCACGACCTGCTAGACTGTTCGAGAGCCTTTTACGGGTATGAGGCGGGTTTTCGTCCAATATATCTTCCAACTCATTGTCTTGGACGTTTTTTGGTCCTTCAGATGGTTCTTTGGCATTGCCATGCAAGCCAGCATTTTTACAGCGACAATTAGGATAAGTTGCTGAAAGTGTGTGATGATGAGGTTCGGCAGTAGATTCCTTCAAATCAAACAACAAAAAAATGAATGAAATGGAAAACCATTGTTTTATGTAGAGAAAGATTAAAATCATCGCATCTAACTGTTGTGTACGTTGACACTTCGCATAAATTTTTTTCAATTTCACGAACGGCTGTCATTAGCCAAACTCCATGCAAGCACTTATTATATTATTGCACTTATTTGATAATAATGTGCCTTGATTCACAATCAAGCGCGCGACTTGTTATGCCGTCAGAAATCTTTGGTTGTCTGAGTCCAAAATTTACATGCTCATGTTTCGCGATGACAATGCATCTGACGGGAGTTTTCTGTGTTACCTTTTGCTTAAGTAAAGAATTCTTTGAAAATATTGAATATTTTGCATGCAGATAGATATTCGATATGGAATCCAATCAGTTCGTATGTACTTCTATAGTTATGCGAACTAGCAAAGGTATTATTAGCCTAATTACATTAAAAGGAAGGCGTGGCGAGGCGAGATGAATAGCTTAAAAGGCGATTATTACAACTATTTAAGGAAGGTTGTACACGTGGTCACAGCTAATGCACTGCACGCTGGCAATTCAGACGCATTATGTATTATGCGTATGGTATATGGAGAGGAGAGAAGAAGAGAGTTTTGAATGTACAATGCTGAGAACGTAATTAAATTTAATTTTCTAGCTTTTCTGTTACCAATATCCGTCTGGATTATGACTTTGGAACGTTTTCCTCGGTATCATCTAACGCTTGTGTTGTGAAAAGTGCAATAGTAAAGCGGATGGGGAAAATTGCTTGAATTAGAAAAAAAAAAAAAAAACTAGATTTCGATAGACGCTTTCTTATTAAGTGAAGCAATTTCGGGATCTCTCTATATATAGTAAAGAGAAAATATTTCTTAAATTTTAATGTTTTTTTTTCAAGTCTTTTCTTTGTTGAACACACACAATATCTCAAGCAAGTTAAAGGCAGTATAAAGTCAATTCGGAAAATGTAAAAGCCTTGAGGCAACTTTCATGATAAATGCGGAGTAAACTATGTGGTCTTCGACTTTGCGCCAAAGATTTCGTTTTTTTTATTCACTTTTTTTTTTCAATAATAAATGTTCGCATAGAAAGTTCGCCTTCTCGCCCTCAAGCGGCAATTCATCTCTTCGATGTCATGGTGTACGCAGTATTTGGCTCCGCACTAGAAAGTGGATAGAAAAAGATGCACATGCGGTTGCTTATGACAATTTGTGAAAAAGGAATTTTGTTATTGTTGTCGTGGTTGCTTTTTTGTAACATTCTTTAAAAATTATTACCAGATTTTTTCATCATCATTTATGCAAACTTCTTTTGCAAGTTGTACCAAATTATTGTCGCATAAACGTGGCGCAGCTCTCTACACACGACAGATAACATTAACGAATGGAAAGAAGTTTAAAAGTTTCGTGTTTTGAAGATATATATATATATATATATATATATATATATATATATATGTATATATATATGTATATATTTTGATTTAGTCTTTTCGAAAATTTGTTGTCGACTGCCATGGCATCATGAAATTATTTATGGCACATTTTTTATGCCCATTCAACCGTGCGTATATTATGCGTATAAGCAACGTTCCTGGTTGTCAATATGTATTAAGTTAAAGGCTTGCATACGTTTCACTGCACAACACAGATGACTAAATAATTATAGCAATAATTTATGCGTTGACATTGCTTTACCTTTGACATGTCAGGAGTAAATGTTAAAATCATATAACATAAATGGTTTGAAAGTTCAACTAAAAAAAAAAAAAAAAAAAAAAAAAACGAAAAAATTCGAATAAAAATATTTCTACGCGATATAATGTGTGTATGACAACTTCAACTATCAGCAAATACAAAGGTTTTCTTGTAGCTGCCTCTTCCTTCGAACGAAAAGTTCATGAAGAAGGAAAAAGCAAAACCATCGACCCTACTTTTACTTCTTTGGCGATGACTTAATAAAGCCGTATTACAGGTCAAAAAAAAAAAAAAAAAAAAATGACAAAAAAATTACAAAAAAATGAAAAAAAAAAACACAAAATAAAAACTACAAGAAGAAAAGAGAAAGCTTGCCGCCATAAAAAATATATATGCTCAAAGCTACCTACCAACAAACAATTATTTGCTTTATCGAGGGTAGCTTCTGCAAGAAATTGTTATATTTTATTCGCTCATTCGTTTTCTTATCCTTTTCTCCCTCTTTTGTAGGTACTATCGCGCGAATACTGTACGCTATCACAACGACCGGTGTGATGCTGTTTGCATGCTTAATCACTACTGTGCCATTACACGAATAGATTACAAGGAATTTCGACAATGCCTCGAAAAAGAGCAAAATGCATTACGTTCGAAAGCCATTCGCTCGACGCTTGACCGTAAAAGTGTTTATGTGTTGGCGCTGATGCTCTTCGTGATGAATATGATGCGTATACATCGTATACTAAGGTGGTTGGCCTGGAATTACACAAAAGTTATAACGACTTGTCAGCAAAGATGTCAGCCGCTCTTGTTCGGTATGAGACGACAGAAATCCAATGCAACTATAACTATATCAGAATTTCACAATGCATACATGAAACCAATGACTACAATGGTAAAGAGAATGTGCTTAAGGGTCGATTGGTCGGACATTCTGTCGAGTAGTTCGCATATGCATTATGATATAAAGACAAAAGATTTTCTGGCTGATATAAAGTCTTATAGAGTTGAAACGATAATAACGATAACGGAAGCCGATAAAACGACGACGAACGCTACTAACCTCGTCAAAGTTAGAACACATACCTGTAATTATTGCCTGCAACAAAAACCTGAACAAAGTAATGATGTTACAGAACGATTTAGTTCAATATCGATCAAACCACGTTACACTATGGCAGTGATGGTGATTTCAGCAATTAGAGCAATGTATAGCAACAGATTCATCGGTAATGCATTAATCATTTTGAACAATAACTTCAATGGCTTTCATTTTTCACGCTCGCCGCAACGGTGTATGAAATGCTTATCACTTAACGCATTCATAAAGCAGAATAGCAGGCATCTCTCTTACCGGACCACACAAATAAACGCACTCTTAATCTCCTTAGAGTTCTTTTGTGTAAACATTTATTATTCTCTTTACTTAACGAAAACAAATACAAGAATTTTTCATCACATCTTTTTAACAAATAACTCAACGAATTAGTTTAAGGTCATTGCAACTCAAAGTGTGCTCCTTTTGTTTGTTTGTATGTTTGTTTGGTTGTTTGTTCGTTTATATTTTATAAGATAAGCGCTTTATTTTTCTATTACAAAGTAGACCATATGTTAATTTGTTAAATCATTAGAATAATGCCTAGTTAAAGAGAAATTTCTTTGTTTTGTATCGATATTGAAGTAAAAAAAAATAAAAATAAAAAAAATAAAAAACAAAAAAAAGCCAATAAATCGTAAAATAAGCAAAGGAAAATTATATTCGGTTATGGCCGAACCTGGCCATTATGCTCACCACCTTTATTTTGGAGGGGGGCAAAAAAAAAAAAAAAAAGACAAAAGCAACGAAAAATAAAAAATTTTGAACACTTTATTACCGTGGGTGGTGCTGATCCAAATTTTTCATTTTCCATGTCCAGGCACTATAACTGAAATACTTTGTGAATAGCGACCAAGAACCCTAACGGGTGCGTACGTCATTT